ATGAAAAAGAATACGGACGTATATAAAGCTAGCCACGAAATTTTTAAGGTTTCTTTATATGAATTTATTTAATGCTGTTTGTCGATAGATTTTTTTTCTTTCACTCCTTCCAAACCAGGTGCAAGAAAGCATTCTCTGAATGTTTATATATATAATATTATAAATAATAAGAAGTCAATGTTTCCTTAAGTACAAACAATAAAACTATATATACTCAAATTTCCAACCTTTGGACATACAAATAAAAGTAAATATGCGATATTCCTAACAATGATTTAAACGAATCTTTCATTTGATTTTTAAAAACGTATAATAAATAAAATAAGTTACTTGTAGTATATATTGTGAATAGCCTGTTGCATAATTTATATTAAATATTAAATACAAATATATATGCTAAATTTCTGACTTAATCAGAACTGTAATAGAACTGGTCTTTACCAGAACTCTACTCCTTTCATGTCAAAGTACTTATTTCGACAAGCGTATATTTAAAATATTATAATATTAAATATAATAATATTATTGAATAAAACCAATAATAAATTATGCTATTAATTATGCTTTAAACTTGTCTCAGTAAATAAATTTATAGCTAAAAGTGTAGTTCATCAGATTAACCTCCTTAGCTATAAGTTAAGGTATTTCATGAACGCATAAACTGCCGCAGCTATAGGAAGTTAGGGTATTCCATGGACGAATACTTCCTTTGTTCCCAATTGCCTTAGATGCATTGTCACATCGTTTGTCGTTTGTCTTCTACCACACACACACCCTCGCACACTTGCAACCCCTCACCGAGTGCCAAACTAATTGTTTCAAATTAGCGCCTTTATGCTCAGGCAGGCTGTCTGTCTGTTGGTCATGGCCAACTGACCGTTGGCTGACCATTGACTTGGGCTTGGACGAACAGTCGAGCCACGGTCCGTCGCGGCGTCTTTGTTGCGTGTGTAGCCCAATTATATCATGGCCCTTTACAAGGCACAATATGGCAACTATACTTGACGGAATGGCGCAGAAATTTGTTGTCAGGACATTTGAATTTGAATGCCAATTGTTTGAATCGCGTTTGCGTGCGAGCGAAGGGTCATAAATTTTACTGTTACGTTGACAAAGATATTTTCATTTTGATGAAAATTTCAATTTAAGTGCTAGGGGAAATAACATAAAATACATTTTAAAAAAGTGTCAGCAAAATAAAAAAGTATACAAAGTATACATTTTACTATGCGGAAAACTAAAAAACATTTATTTAAATGTTAGTCCTATATAAAATTATGGATATGGAAAGACAATAAAGCACGGATAGGTAAACAATACTAAATACAGCAATAATATTATATTTAAATAGAATAAAATACGCTAAATTATTAGATTCAATTTTTTTTTTTGTTTTTGAAAAGCAAACCATCTATAAAATTCTTATTTAAGTAACCTCCGAATTTTTCAACTGTTTTCATTTGTAGTTAACTAACAAATTAAATAATTTAAAGCTTAAGCCAATGATGGCTTTAAGAATTATTGAAATTTTTATTTCCCGTTCTGATTCTTACAAAGTTTGGATAGTTAAATTGTCGTTAATTTCACCTGTAGCACACTTTAAAGTTTATTTGTGCTAATTCGATAAATAAAAAGTTTTGCCAATAAGCAAAACAAAAATTTGTTACAAATTTGCTGTTGCCTCAAGTGAGACGCGATCGAGAAGCGATACCCGCAATACTCTGAGGGAGCTGCCGTTGCTCTGTGGCAACGACAATTTATGCCACTTAAACTTAACACCTCACCGAATGCCCGACGAAGCGTTGTAAATCGTTTATTTGAATTATATTAATTTTCCCGTTTTTGAACTTGAAAAAGAAACTGAAAAATGTAAAGTAAAAAATTGTTTAGATGAATTTCATGCGCTTGTTTGCATTTTGTGATTTGTTGTTGTTTTCCTCCAGCTGGACAACAGGAGACGACAGTTTTGTGTCGCTGGGTTGTCAGGACAACAACAGGAAAATATAAAACAACTCGCTGAAAAATGAGGCAACAAGAAAAAAACAACTCGGCGCGTAATAATAAATGAGAAGTGGAAAAGTTTTGCCGCTAACGTGCTTATTGTCAAGCTCGGCCAGGCCATAAAAAACAAACTTCAATAGCAATAAGGCGACAAAAAATGGTAGAAAACAACAACAACAGCAGCAACAACAACAACAAGAAGCAGGCCAAAAGAACAACTGGCAAAAAGTTCAAGGCACTGACTTTATAGCTGCAATAATGCCTGCAAGGGATCGCTGAGGGAGTAAGGAGAGGGGCGACAAGGTGAGCCACACGCCAAAAAACAAAGCGAGGCCGCGCGACAGAGTCCCGGCTTTGGGGAGGGTTGGTTGGGAATGCCGCGGGTCACCTAACGTGTTGAGGCACTTTGGCGAGCTAACGAAATGTAACAAAGTTCCGGGGCGCAGTCGGCCGGGCCGGGCCGGCAAACTCTGGTCTATTGTCCGGCACAGTTGGCCGTGTCCGTGTCCGTGTCGCTAACGGGCCTGGTTTGTTATGTGGCTTATGCCGGAAATTTGTATTTAGACGCTTTGTTGTTTTTGCTTTAGCATTTTTTCTTCTTACGCCTACTGCGGGATTTTGTCGCCGGCCCGCCTGTGCCTGAGGTCTGGGTCAGTTTAATCATGGGCCAACGTTAGATGGAATATGTTGTGAATTTAACAAAAATTAAATTTAAATTGGACAGACAGCTTAATGTGGCCAAAGAAACATGTTTCCTATATATATATTGATGGCAATAAGGCAGCCGAATATTTATTTATGGCAGAAAGTAAAGGATCATTTAAAGCAAGAACTCGAGAATAATATCTAACTCATATTAGAGAATTCGATCTTTTAAAAATTAAGCATATTTTTCGAATAATAAACCTTTTACTAGAATTAATTATTTCTATTATTTTTTTTAATATTCAAATATTATATATTTATTTTATAATATTTATTTATTTATTTACTTAATATATTAAAATGTTAATAAAATTGCAATGTTTTGATTTCCTGGCCAATACATAAGAGTTTGGCTAAGTACGTATTTATAGTATTTAAACAATGGCAAATTTTATACATTTTTCAAAAGAACTTCTAAAATCTAACCGCATAAGACATAAACTCCTAGCCATACAATAACTCTTTTCTTACAATACTTAAATAGAAAAACCCTTTTTATGAAATGTTAGAGGGTGAACTTTAAGTAAAACTCATAATTGTTTAAATATGAGTCTTTCGCTCATCGTCACCTTGCCATTCCTTAGTCAATTATGATAACTATGGCGATTAAAATTAATGAAAATTATAGAATATGCGGGCCTGTCAGCTGAATGAAACATTCAACTGCACCGCACGCCCAGCCCCACCCCCCACCAAGTCTATTGATGTCACCTGGCCCCGCTGAACCGTCACATCGATGACAATTTAAAATCGCGGCGGGGTGCCGCAGCCGTGGTCGGGAATGCGGCACTAAATTACTATGCTCAACTCATAAAGGTTGGAAAATTTAATTACATGCAACGGGTCCGAAACGTAAAAAGGGAAAAGGGGGACAGGCGAAAACTTGCGCTATTCAATGGGCATTTGCTTGGGGACCAGCTGGGCGTTGCCCGGACACGACAAGGCAAAAACAATTGTCGAGGCGTAGCCCGAATGTTTAGACGGGGTAATCATTTCAAAGCGCAAAAACTCTGCTGTGCTGTGGCCCGTGTTTTCCTGTCACCTGGAGCCGCCCCCCATGGGCTTTATTATAATGCCTGTGCCGTTCCTTTGGGTTTACCCCTCATTCTGGACAACAATCGGTGTCAACAATGTGCGGGCAGTTTGATGAACGCCTTGACTTTCACACGCTAATGAGTTTGTTTAAGTAATTTCAATTCATTTGTTAATTTTCAACTATTGTCCCTGTATTGACTCTATTAATGCGGCCAGTGCCTGTCATTCTGTCACTCTGTCATTATTTCAGTCCGAACGTTTATTTGCCCTCAGTGCCCTCAAAGCTTGCGTGCCCATAAATATCGCAGCATTTGACCATTTGTGTCCTTTTGTCATTGTCCTGGGAGGGAGTTCAAGCCATTAATATACTCCTGCTCTACACAATTGTGTGTACAGCCACACATCCAATTGCCGAATATATGTATCTGTAGATACTCATTATTATTGCTTATTATTTTTACTAATCTTATCAATACTTTGCTAATTAGGAAAAAACATATTAAATAAAAAAAAAATAAATTAAATAATAACAAAATGAGTGATCGACTCAAGAGTGGTTGACTCTAATAAAGCCCGTACAAAGTTCTGGATCAACGAAACATATTGGAATGTGGAAGTAAATATACAATAAGTATATAAGAGTACATTGTATGCACGTTTTAATAACCCATATTTAAAATTAATTTTAAATAAACATATCTCTTATTAACATCAAAATCTGAAAACCTTATCTGGAATTATAAAAACGACATAGAAGCGCAATATTCATGAAAGGGAATGCAAGAACAGAGAAAATGAACACAAACGCAAGAGGAGAAAAGAGAAAGAGTAAGACAGAGAAAGTGAGGGGGTAGACACATAGAGCGAGAGAGAGAGAGAAAGTTGAAGGGAGTGAAGAGTTAAAGATCAATCAAAATAGAGTCACATACAAATTAGCCAATATTTATCAATACGTAATTATCATTATCGCTATTTTAAAAAGCTCGCAAAACTTAATTTAATTTAAAATTAAGTCATTATGTTTCAAAAGGAAGGCAAAAATAAAAAAAAATTAAAATTGCTTAAAAATGCAGTCAGTCAATCTTATAATATAATAATAATTATAATTATAATTATAATAATTTATGTGGAAAAATATAGGCGATTATTAAAAAAAAAGACTATATTATTGTTATTTTTATTTAAATTTCCTTAGGCTCAATATGTTGCCTTTGAAATATCCATCAAAAATATTTCGAAATAAAGTGTATGTTTTATTTTAATTCAGTCAAGTAAAAGTCCAGCACTAAAAAAAAAATTTTTGGTTTACCCCAATAAATTCTTTGTTTTTAATAATTTCCAATGACCGCAGCTCGATACATTCGAAGTTGGTTAAGTCTTTTGATAGTTGGAGTGCCTACACGAGGATAGCAATATGTTAGCGGGTTTACGCAAGAGTCTGACTGGGGTTCTCTGGAAGAGGCAGCCGCGCCGCTTGTTGAGCGCGATGAACACAATGCTCCGCAGGGGTCAAAGCGATGGTAAGGACGGTGGCGGTCAGCTGCCCAAGCGGAAACAACAGGTAAAATCGTTGAAGAACGAGCATTTCGATGTGCTGGTCATCGGCGGTGGCGCCATCGGCTGTGGCTGTGCTTTAGAAGCCGCCACACGTGGCTTTAAGACGGCATTGATAGAGGCTGAAGATTTTGCCAGCGGTGCCAGCAGCAAGTCTAGTAAACTAGTCGAAGGCAGCAACTCCTATCTGCATGCGGCCATACAGGGCGCTGATCTGCAGCAGATCTTCATGCTGCAGCAGGTGCTCAACGAGCGTGCAACCATGCTGACTATAGCGCCCCATTTGAATCGCGTGCAACCCATGCTGATCCCCATCTATAGCCCGCTGCGACTGCCCCTTTACTGGCTGGGCTTGAAGATGTACGATGCCATGGCGGGCATGTCTAATGTGCGCGGCTCACATTTTCTATCCAAGGACGCAACGCTTAATGAGTTCCCGCTGCTGCGCAGAAATGGGCTGCTGGGCTCCCTGGTCTACTACGATGTGCAGCTGGATGATGCGCGCATGTGCCTGGCCTTGGCCATGACGGCGGCTAAACATGGCGCCACCGTGGCCAACTATGTGCGATTGACGAAGATAATGCCGCCGACCGGTGAAGATGGCTGCCGCACGGTGCGAGTCCACGATACGGTCAACGAGTCGTGCTTCAGCATCAACAGCAGGGTCGTCATCAATGCGACGGGCGCGGACACAGATGTAGTTAGACAGTTGGATGACTGCAGGGTCCGCCACATTGCAGTGCCCAAAATGGGCACGCACATTGCGCTGCCCAGCTATTATGGCTCCCAGAACTGTGGGCTGCTCCTTCCCAGCGATAAAACCGCGGAGCAGGCACTGATCATGATGCCCTTTGAGAGCGGCATGCTAGTGGGCAGCCTCGTTGTGGACCGCCCAGAATCGAACGAGCAGACACCAACTCCGACATCCGCGGAGGTGGAATGTCTGCTAGCGCAAACGCGTCGGGTGCTCGAGGAATGTGTACAGCTGCGGTCGGGTCATGTGATGAGCGCCTGGACGGGCATTAAGCCTTCGATTTTGTGTCCATCCGTGGAGAAGAATGAAGGCAAGGAGCCAATTACGGTGCCCAACTATTTGCTGGAAGTCAGCGACAACCAGATGATCACCTTGGCCGGCGGACGCTGGAGCACATATCGTGTGATGGCCGTCGATGCCATCAACACAGCCATCGAAACCTGTCAGTTAGAGCCGCACTCGGACTCGAGCATCACAAAGAATCTGCTGCTGGATGGCGGCAATGACTTTTGTTGCATGCTGCCCCTCGATCTGGTGCAGGCATTCGACTTGCCCATGGATGTGGCCCAGCATCTGGCCGATTCCTATGGTACCAATGCCAGCCACCTGCTGGCGAACAGTTCGCGCAGTGGCCGACTCCGGCTGCACCCGAAGTTTCCCTATATCCAAGCCGAGGTAACATATGCCTGCCAGCGGGAGTACGCCTGCCATCTGGTGGATGTGATTGCCCGACGCCTACGTGTGGCCTTTGTCAATGTGGCGGCTGCGGCCGAGATGCTGCCCACCGTACTGGAACTCATGTCTGAGCAGCTCTTCTGGAAGAAGCAGAAGCAGGAGCAAGAGTTGAGAACGGCTCAACATTTTCTAGCTGAGCAAATGGGCCTTGGCAGCATTGTCAAGCAGAATAAAGAGTCCCAATTCCGGGAGAGTCATGCGCCCAAGCATGAAAGTACCCAAGTTAACCAAGAAGAGTACATTCGACATTCTGTGAGTATGAATTCGGGTTCGACAGTCCTTAGCTCGGCACCAGGAATAGCTGACAGCAACAAGAAGTCGTGCCTTAGCGCCCAAATCGAGACAAATGCCACATCTGTGGGCTGTAGAGGAATAGCAGCCCCGCTGAGTGATGAAAATTCCCCAATGCGGGTACACGCATGCATTCCCCCGCCCCTCAAAAGCGAGACCATCCCCACAAATGATACAGCTTATCAAGCAACCAAGATATCCCCATTGATCAATCCTTCAGTAACAGGCGGCGGCAGCTTAGTTCCTGTCACTGGTTCAACTACAGCCATGAGCACTTCCAGCGCAATTCAAAAACCAAACGCAGAATGTGCACCTGCAGAAAGCACGACCACCACGTCAACAATCAGGAAGAAGCGTAAGGTCTGCAGCTTCAGTCCCTATGTTATAGCTGGATCGGAACCCAGAGGCCCTGCGCCTGGCCCAATGATGACTTTAGCCAGCTCAGACAGAGTAAGCGGCTTAGCTGTGTCCTCCTCCAACCAGAAAGACACGACCAACAGCATCGAACCAAAATCAAACTACGACTCAAAGTACAAGGCTCAATGCCCCGATTTTGAGCCCCCACAGAAGCAGTCTGGAAACTCAAAGCTTTCTGCCCTAAATGTAACAAGCGACAGCGACAATATCGCATCAACAGTCAAGCAAGAAGGTACAACCCACTTTAAAGAGGACAAGGAAAGGCCATCTGCCGATTCTGCGGCATTCCATAAAAACAGTCTTGTCAAATCGGAGCTAACAAATAGCAATATAGCTGACTGTAGCTACCCTACCCCAACGACTGGGAGCGGTACGGCCCTAGAAGACAAACCGACTTCTAGCATCTCGAGACTTGGTATTGAAACGGATTGCACTGCCTCAATGACTGGCAGTGGCGCGAGCCCAAAAGGTAGCCGTCGAGCTACCGATACGACGACAACAAATCCTAGAAACAGTGCTGGCAATTTTGAGCTTGCGAAGCCTGCAGCTTGCATCTCGATTCCAAGCGTTATGGCGGCAAGTGAGATCAGCACTCCAAACATTGTCAGCGGAACGGGACCAGAAGATACCAGTCGTACTACAGATACGGTAGCAATCATTGAATCCACAGTTGCCCGCCTTGAGCTACTTGAGCAAACTTTAATCAAAGTGAGTGCCGGCGAAGAGTCATCTAGTTGCGAAGACACCCCAGAAACCGTCCGCGATACGGCCATTGAGGTTAGCAGTAGCACAGACTGTCGTTCAGCTGATCAACATAAAGAAGATGAAGACAAAGCTGTAATTGGCAGATCAAGCAACGAAAATGATGTCAAGAAGAATCCCACTGGATCAGAAACGGCAACCTAAACTTGTGACTGCCTCGTACGTAGACTTTGATAAATTAATGTTATTTCTTCTTTGGCACGAAAGCAACAAATTTGCCTGTAAGACTGCGTTTTTTTAAATATGATATGAGTGCACTCATACACAGGCACACTAACATCATTTGGTGTTCGGTGAGTGAGTGTGCATGTGTGTAGAGTGCGTGAATATGGAAAGATGATCGTGTCGAAGCGCTGCATATAAACAATAATTAAAGGCAACAATATATATACAAAAATAGCAATTGAATTATTGATTCTAAAAAAAACGAGTGGATGGGTGCGCCTTTTAAAGGTAACAATACAGCTGCTTGATTAGGATCTCATTTTAAATGTAGAAAATCGAGATCTTTGCTTATAAATTTTTAAGCAAACGTGGATGAGAGAGAAAACGGAGTAGGTAAGCAAATTTCATAATTTTGTGAATAAACAATCATGTGTTGTTGTATTCGATATTTAGCAAGATATATTTTATATTCCGTATTAACTATTTACATCTATTATTTATGATTTGGGAATTATTCAGATTTTATTTCATTAGCATTTAATTTAAGAATTTTGGTAATAAATATATATGTATTTGATATATATTTGATGCTCAGTATTAATTATTTATATATATTATTTATGAATTTAGAATTGTATTTGAATTTAATATCGCAAGTATTTAGATTTTAATTGCTTAGTATTTAATTTAAGGATTTTAGTAATAAATATAGGTATTTAAAGTTTTAAATTCATAGAACATAGAAAAAAAAAGTTTGATTAATTTGAAATGATATTTATTCTGTTTTGCCAGCCTTAAAAAATAATCATAAAAAACTCATTTGCGTAGCTAACGAGCACCCATTAGTCAAAAAGGGAGGCACATTACGCGCACAAGACTTGGCGCAAAAATACTTATAAGTTAAAATGCGGCCCAATCAGCCAATAAATAAGGCAATACATGAACGATAAGCATATACTACAAGAAACGTCTACCCATAACAATAATTCAAAATGGGTAGCTAGAAAAAAAGCAATCGCTTCCGCATAACATGCCTCGTACCAGGACCAAATATACTAGACAGGCAAATTTGGCTAATTTATTAAAAACAAACGACGAGAGCAGCAGAAAATTGCCCAAGTAACGCCAATTGAGCAACAGCCAAAAGAAAATCGATGGCCAACAACAAAATTTTAAATGACTTTCAAATGGTTTTCATTGGGAAATTGAAACCAAAAATGCAAACCATGTAAATTTTCTTCTTATATTATTTTTTTGTTTTGCAGCCAGTGTCATAAATTGCCAATTAAATTGCCAGACAACATCTGAATAAAGAATATATGTACCATCTGATTGCACACGCTGTGAAGCAGAGAACGTGTGACATATTTATAAATTCATTTACATCTACCTACAATATGTCTACATTTTTATATCGAAGCGAAGAATACGTCCAATATAACACATTTAAAATATTATAAAAAAAAGAATGAAAAAATTTATTTAAAAAAATTCATTTATCTGAAGAGTATCATAAAATTTATTAAAATTAACATTTACTTTTTATTACTAAATGTTATACTTTAAATATTCGACTTTGCTTGTTTATTTTAATAGCAAAATTAATTTTTTTTTTTTTATCCTGTTATTTCCTGCGCAATATGTTTGTTTCCAATCATCAATAAATTTCTGTATTTCACGGATATCGATAAGTATCGATATGGATAACTTGATTTTTGAGCACATCTGTTTTCAATTCCATAACGAATTTCTTTAGTCCTTAAATCCTACCAATATCTAGCTATTAAGTATTGTGGCTTAACTAACAAAAGATTGCTTGATAATTGGAGAAGGTCTTAGAGTTACTCGGTAGTTGGGGTCATTTAAGTGTTTTTGATTGTAACGGTTTCTACACTTTTTCTTTCCAATTCTTTCGAAATATGGGTTATTAAGATTAATTTTTTAATTTAACTGTTGACTCTAATAAGGCCAATGACATAATTATCTGTAAACAAGGGGAATAGTTGGCCGGACGGGCAAATAAAATACCCCCATCGTATTGATGATGTTATAAGATATTGTTTATTCTGTATTCTGATGAGGCTTAAAGCTTTTAATTTCTCTGTTTATATGTATAACATGCTTAGGTTCGTTTGATTGATCATTAACAATATGATAAACAATTATTCAAATTTAAAAATAAATAAATAAATATGAGCTAGGCACACTTAGTTTGCTTGACTCGCTTGAAAAATACACATATCTAAAATAATATATTTTTTGATACCTCTGATCGCTTCTCCCAAAACTGCAAAAACACATTTTCGATATAGGCTTGGGTTTGGAATTTACCCACATTTAAATGCTATATTAAGCAAATATAGAGATCGGATACTAAACACCGAAGCAATTCACGAATTTCCCATACTATGGGTCTAAGGAAAGAGGTAGCAAGAATGTTTGTGTGGGTCTAAGCAAAGAGTCATCTAGAATGTTTGTGACTATAGCTGGGGCACTCGCGACTCTTACTTGTTTATTTGCTATACTTTCTCTTCGCTATAAATTTCAGTTTCTGGCAAAAATAAATGCAAAGTTTTCAATTACCATTATTGCTGTAGTGTTAAAATGAAAAATGAATTTAAAGTACAAGCATCTACAAATAAATTGCATTCATTTCAAATTTCGCTTTGGCACGCATTCAATTCTGAAACAATTTTTCACCTGCACTCTGAGGTAGAAAACTCCAGTGTGCCGCACTTGTGGCCTACCAGAAGCCCATAAACAAACCTATTAAGTTGGTCTAATGTGAAACACTTTCACTTTCGCCCCTCCAGCCCTTGCTCCACACCTGAGGCGAGTTTCTATCGGGCGCTGCAATCGGTTGGTATTTTTATGCTGATTAGCTACGTTAACAATTTGCAGCACGCGAAACTATTTCAACAATTTCGAGTGGCAAAAACTTGTAGCATAAATCGCCGCAGCGGCCAGAGGCCAAAGGTGTTCTATGCCAGAGTTGGAAAACGCCAACAGAGTCTGGGAAAATTTTAATAAGCCAAGTCTAAGGAAGTATTCGTAATAGAGTAAAATTCATGCGGCGCACACGCGACTTCCTAGACCTCATAATATTGAGAAAATTCTAGCCATTAAAACCACGCACATACACACCAGATACACGCACACACACACTCAAGCTCCTTGTTATAATGCAGTCAAGGACATTTAAGAGAGGAAGGAACCAAAAAAAGAAAATGCTTTAAAACGCGACGTGAATGCCAAAAAAAAAAAAATTTATAAAAATAAATTCAAGCACACAAAAATATGCCATGACGGAAGTATCGCAAAAAAATAGTGGGGAAAAAATAACGAAAAAATATATAAATGTCAAACGGAAATGACAAGAAAATAGTATGCAATAATATATGTTATAATGTACTCAGGACAGATGCCTGCGATAATGTGGGCGGCAGGAAGTCGTATTCATGTGGTTTAAATTGAGTTTCACTTTTTTCAGTTTTGTATCTTTAGGTAGTGCATCTCCGTTGGTAAATGTAAAACTTGTGTTTGCTATAAAAAGATACTTGAATAGGGGAAATGACAAAAATGTTGGAAAAGTCGTAAACTTTTTTATTTGGTAATATATTTTTAAAACATATTTTTGTTCATTATTAGTTTAAGTTTTGTATAATAACTAACTGGTAATATCCGGCCTTATTGTTGGTTCAAATCTAAGTCGGTACTATCTTGAAGACCACGGCTTAAGTTATAGTAACTAGGGTAATAATTTTGGTTCCTAGTTCCTACGATTATATAGAGAATAAAGCAACAACAACTACTGAACATTATATTTTGTAATTGTTTTCTGCCTAGCAGCATTAAATACTTCAAAGGGCAATGAAAATATTTTAAAATTATTTACCAGAAAACTGTTAACACAATATCTGATATTATACTAATATTATTTGTCGCATATATTTGCGATTGATTAGAGTAATGCAACTGTTACTATCTATTTTCCTGCTTTAATATTTATAGGGCACACATTTTAAGAAATTTTCTACCAACTGTAAAAAACTATTCACACGCTTCGCATGGCCACACATTGCAATAATATTTCTCGCTTTACCATGCATAAAATCATAATATATCTTCAACTACAAGTAAAAGTATCTACACCAGATACTACGGACTGGAACTGAATGTGCCAGCAAATAAGTAGTAAAACAGCGAGTAAGAGCCAAGGACTCTGGCACTCAACTGCAGAGAGAGAACATTGGGCCAAAACGATAAGTGACAAACATGTAAAAGGCAAACAAATGTATATTTTATACATGACATCTTGTGGGGGGTGGGGGTGGAGTGGACGAGTGTGTAGTGGGGGGTGGGGGGACACTCTGAGTGCCTGGCAAAAAGAGATGCACATCTGTCAGATAAGTGTGGAGAGCAGTTGTGGCCCGCAGGTGACAAGTTAAACGTCTTGTAAGCATTTGCATTTCAGGAATGAAAGAAAAAAAAATAGAGAAAATAACAAAAAATGTATTTAGATACTCAAGCTCTTGTATGATAAAAATAAATTTGCTAGAAATAAATAAATAAATAAATAGCTAAGAAAAAAAAAGAGTCAGCAACAGCAAAAGACACATCCTTTATCTGCAGTTCATTTTGCTTGCCTTGAAGCCAAAGACTTCAAAAGGGTTGTTGTTGTTGTTGTTGTTGATGTTGGCAATGGCTTAAAGCATATTTGATTATGTCATAAAATATGCTGAAGGATCTGGCCACCCTGTCTGCCAAGAATAAGATAAATTTAAGAAATATGCAAATATAAAGCGAGCCATTTAAACGAAAAAAAAAAAACTGTTTCAACCCCAAAAGCCTTGTGGAAAATTATTTTCATACATTTTTTAATATGCGCAATTTAAACTCGTGTCCTGTTCAATATTTACACTGCGTATGTGTGTGTATTGTGTGTTTTGTGTGTATAGACAAAGGCAATTGAAATTGCCAGAGAGACTGCAACAAATTTTGTATCCTGATTGCTTCTAATGGGCAAAGTAAATGTTTTTCCATCCACATGCAAATATTTTGCTGCATGCAAATTGTTTTCATATTTATTGATCAAATTGTAGCAAAGGTTGGAAAAGAACTGGGGGGAAGTACAAAAGCGGTAATTTTAAGTGTCGATTGCAATTTGAAATGAAAAGTTGATGAAAATGTGTGGATATTGTGGGAATATTTTCGCATAATCTATTGTTTTCG